ATAATAGTAGACTTTGAAAGACTTTTACAAAAAAAGAAGAGGCTTAATAAACAAACTAATACATGATGTGAACAAGAGAGGCGGAATAGATATCACTCGTCTACAACAGATAATGAAGCACCAATGAACGAACCCGAAATTTTTAACACGGTGCTCTGCCAGTAAGGCGAGTCCCGTCAATGCTCTTGCAGCTTTAATTATTATTATATATCTACGTATTATTATTACTACAGACTATTAATTACTATAGTCACTGCTCATCCTGTCCCATCATTATCTTCATGTTCATCATCATCATCATCCCAGTCACTACTTTTAGTGTAGTTGTTGCTACTGTTGTTGCTGTGCACCCTTTGTTCTGCTGTCTGAGGTTCTGCCTCTTAGTTTTTACTTGCCGCCTCCGCCAGTGCTTGCTCATGGTGGGAACTGTTGGGTCTCTGTAAATGTTATAAGGAGATCGGTCTAGAGCCTGCTCCATATTTGAAAGTGTCCGAGATAAACTTCTGTTATGAAATTGGCACATACAAATAAAACTAAATTGAATTGAATAGAACTAATTGGGTCACTAATGGGAAATGAGAGCATGAGCTAAGAGTGGGCAACAGAAAAGAAATGGAGCCCTTCTGGGTTGCTGAATGCCCCCACCTAACACCCAATGTAATCCTGCATAAAGCCCACATGGACAATTGACATTATGAAACACACGAACAATCACATACCACACATAGAAAGAAATGCTGGCTGGGTATTAGTCTGCAACTGTCAGCAGAAAGAACTTATCTGTTCATTTTAGCAGCAATAAATGTATGTTTTATGAAACATTTTCATCTATATGATAATATAAACACTATAAAATACAAAAAGGCTTTGGTTTTAAGTATATTTTTTTGAGTGAACAATGTAAATGTTCACTCAAAATGTTGTAAAGTGGGTTACGAGGGTGTTTATTTTTGTTGTGAGCATGTAAAAAGCAACTCAGCTTTAATGCCAGTGTGTGGTTACCGAATATTCTGCTTGCAGATCATTTGTAAAAGTGTAAACTTACCTCTTCCATTCTGTAGGATTCAAACACATACAGGTAGCTGCCTGGCCTGCCTACCAGTCTACAGGGGCACATTCATGAAAAGATTAAAAGCAGATATACAATGTGTTCTTTATCTTAAAAGATTTTTATCTTTTTGACACTTAAAAATATATAAGAGTGGTCAAAGATATTATAATGCAAAGCAATGCAGTCCCTCTAGGAAGTTGCAAGTGTATTCTTCGCAACCATGCCATTTTGTCCGGTTCCTGCAACATTTCTGCAAATTTTACCTATCATTGTAGTTTTCTGCACAAAACGTTGAGCCATACTTCACCATCCTTGTTTGTAGTTGTAATGATGAAGACCATGTAGACATTGCACATGTCTACACGAGGAATGCCTCACATTTACTATCCAAACTGTGATTTTATTCTCACTGAACAGTTACAACCATTTTTGAAAATTTCACTTTATCCTGCAGTTTATTTACAAATAAATACAAGCATCGCAATTTTTTTTTAGAGAAGTTGGTTTTAAATCAGGCATTTTAGTCCACAACAAACCCCAAAAAGCCAGCAAAAACCTGGAGGGACTGAGTAAATGACAAACCAAGTGACTCAAATGACATTAAAATGAAGATACTAACCTTCCCCTGAAGAAAGCAATGTAGATGATGGGGCTGAAAGCATTGACAAACTTGAGAATGAAGGTCTTGAAGATAAGACGTTCCTCAAAACTCTTGTCTGTTTTAGGAACCTCTAAAATGAACAGAGAACTTGCTTTGATTTATTTGCTATTTGCAATAAAAAAAACAGGCAATAATTTTACTTCTGAACACATTGTTATTCATAGAAACAATTCATTTCATACATTTCAAGTCAGAGGACAAAAAAATTTAAACTGGATAACATGAATCACATATCACCATGTCAGTGTTTCCTGTGGGAGACAGTAACTCCCTTTGATGTGGACACTGGGCGTTGTAACTTTGCAGACCTTTTACAAAAAAAGCTATAACAAACTAAAAGGAAAGGGGAAATACCCAAAAAGCATAATAACACAATGAAGAACAATTTTACAGAGTATATTTATAAAAATAAAAAAAACTGATTTTCTCTAGGCAAGCACTTTTCAATTCAGCATTTTCTTGCTGTAAAATGTTTGATTGGCTTCTCAGAGTTTTGTGAACCTCGTAGCGTCTTTTGTCCCAGCTGCATTGAACTCTGCAGACCCCTGGGGCCAGAAGCATAAAACTCTGTGTATACTTAGTTTGATCTGTGTACACACAAAACAGGAAACATGCATACACAGTCTTTTCATCATATTTATAAAACCTCACGTACGTCTGTATCCACATGTTTTTCCTTCATCCTGAAATTGTACGCAGAGTTTTGAGGAGAAATGGTGGAAGCATTGAAGAAGCAAATGAAGAAGAAGCACAATTTTACGGAATGTTAACTGGAGGTAATGGTGGATCAAACTGATAAAAAAAACATGTTAAATATAGTAAGGTGAATGGCAGAAGGTAACGGAGGCAGTGAATGCCTCAGACATTGGGGGAGTGGCCTCATTTATGTCTAAATACTTTCCTAAATTGTGCAATAGCAACATCTTCCAGCAGCCCCAAAGCAGCCTCTGTATCATTTGGCACACGGCTACAGCCTTTATATAGTGGTGCTTTAACAAGCTGTTAATTGGTCACTCACACCTGAAGGTGTAGGTTATACAGGACAATAATGGCAGTTTTTTTTTTTTAAAGATCATGTATTCATATAGAATATAGATAGAATGAAATTAAGGTTTGTCAAAAAGGTTGTTAATCACACACACATCCCTATGTTAGTTAAGTTTTTATTTAAACTACAGATTGCATCCAAACACAACGCAGTGAAAGACACAAAGCTCTAAATAAAGTGTAGCCCAAATTCACACTTTTTCCAGAGTTTGGCCAGAGCGCACCCAACCACCTCAAAGTTGGTTGAAGTGACGTCTTACCGACCGCAGCTGCTGCTTCATAATAAAAGCTTTTAAATAACAAAATAACCAGCGACGTTTATTGTTAATAATTTATAAGAAGTAAAATCACTAGAGCTATGTTAGCAGCTATTCTGCACTAGAAACAGTCTACATACTACAGGGAGGTAGGTGGGTGTGTTTATTTGTGCTTTAAAACATAACTGCTGTGAAACAATCGCAAAATAACGTATTTATTTGATTCACAGCTTTGTTCGCGCTAACGCCGCTCCCTCTCTTCATTAATTGTTGGGCTCTCTTGACCACCGCGGCTCACTCTCTGCCTGTAAAGACACACCGAGACAGTCCATGCCAGCAAATGTCTATGGAAAAATGCTAAATGATTTCACTTTTAAATGGGTCAGTTTTTAGATTTCAACATGTGTCAAAGTTTGTTCCTAAAAGCTACAATATAATATTTTGAATTTGCTACAGCTTTGACTCATGGGTATTGTAGTATTTATAACCAACTACAATAAAATTATTCAGGGCACTCCTGGGCATCTCTGTGTGGAGGATATATGATTAAAAGAAATGTATAAATATTTAAATTGAAATGAAAATGTTTTGTCCTGAAAACAATTGCAGACTCTCTACTATGCAGGTGGTTTCCTTCTTTCCTACCAAAAGAAGGTAGGACTCAAATGAATGAGTTTGTAACTTATTTACAAAATGTAAATTTTTTACATAAACAGATAATAAAGGATTCAGATTTGTTAAGCAGGTTTTGTACTGATTAAGATTGGATTGGAATTTACCCAGCACAGTGAGCCATCGTGCCACAGCTCCATACACCTCATCCAGTATGAGGATGACCACCAGGTTGATAATGGCCGCGGTAGTTTTAACCGTCAGTTGTACATGGTTCCGTGTGATCGGATTGGAGCTCATATGAAGGGCGGCTTTGGTGGAGATCCGGTAGAGGATCACGCCAAACACAATGGCGAACGTAACACCAATCTATAAATGAAAAGGTTTGCAGGATAACAAACAGTGAGGGAAAAGAAATAATAATTCCACAACCTTTCCATGAATCATCAGTAATTCAGAGTATATGCAGAGAATCAGGTTCTACTTACCATTAACAGCATCATGACAATGTTAGTCATGTAGGCAGGGAGGCGGTCTCGACATGTGAGCTTTTCCATCTAAAAATCAATAAATAAAAACATACTCATGTGGTATGTAAAGAGGACTGAGGTTGGTCAGACTAGAATGCTGACGTGTTATCTGTGAAGTGTTGAACAGCACGAGGACAGTTACAGCAGAAACATGTCAGTTTGGCAGATTTTTCACCATAAAATGTCCAAGGAGTAACACCCAAACCATTCTGCTGAAAACCTATGTATATGGGTATGTAGTAGTGTTGTTGATCGATTCATGTCCAAATCTTAACATTTTAGTGCAAAGTATTTGAATTCTAAATATGCATACAAACCTCCTCTACTGGTTGAGACCCTGCTACTGCAACTTCCGCTGTTTATAGCATTGTATTAACCATGTTCTAATAGATGTTTGACTAAATCTGTGATACATAGTGTTTTCCCATCAAATTAGCTCTTCCGTTCAAGATTCAAGGAACCATGGTGAAAACCAGACTGTGTTTCCACCAGTTTTGAGTGGAACCATTCTAATCGTGTCATCAAAAGAGGGCTCTGCACAATACACAACAACCTGTAGAATGAGTCGACTATATTGGTTCACAAGTTAAACCTATTTTTTTGACAATCTTTCTGGGTTCCAAACTAATTCGTTTTTAGTTGCAAATGGCAAAAAGTTGCCTGAACAGAGGTCCCAGCCAACCAAAAAATGATCAGGTTTAACATGGGAACCAAAGGGGGCAGGTCATATTCTACAGGTCATTGTGCAACACCCTCTGTTGATGATCCATCTAGTTATGAATCCCGAATAAACACATACAACTGGAAAGATGAAAATCAGCAGAGCCTACCACATAATTACCTTTGATTTATGATCTTTGCTCAGAGACTTCTGCATGACCCTGAATTCATATTCGGCCCTGGGGTGGTCCTGTGGTGGTGACATGAACAGAAATGACTTGAGCAGTTAAATAAAAGTGGTATTACCAGATAATATGTATGCCTGTGGTAGAAGAGAATGCTCTGTTCAAGAGCTGTTTTAATAAGGCAGTAAAAGGTCCAGTGTGTTTAGGACATTTAGGAGGATCTATTGTCAGAAATGTAATATAATATTCACAGGTCACATTCCATGGAGTCCGCCATGTTGAAGCACCATGTTTCTACAGTATTCACATTTTTTGTGTTTTTGTAGCAGCTGTAGTTTCTCCTTCACGCTTGGAATGGGAGTGTGATGTGAGAGAGTTGCAATCTGTAACTATACCACTAGATGCCACTAAATCCTACACACTGGACCCTTGAATAAAATACACAAATCGTATTGAACTTGGAAGGACATTTTCGTTTTCAATGCAATTAAATAACTGTAGGTTGCTGGCTAGAATACACTCTGAAGAAGAGCTTCTTGCCTGAAATGTTTGTGTGGCAAAATGTCCTAGTTCTTTGCTTTATATTTGTTTACAACCATATATCAGGTATACCTGATGAAGTACAATAATGAAGTACAAGGATAAACCCTAATAATAAAATAATAATAAAAAAACATCACAAGAAAGAACACAGAAAGAAAGTCTAAAACAGATCAAAATACAAAATTAAACCTATACATCCTGATTGAAACAAAACATTGTGTATAACAGTGAAGTGACACTCACAGCTAGAGTATAAGTGAACAGAAGAAAAACAGCTTGCGTCAAAAGGTCAGGAAATAATCACAGTGCTTAAAGTATATAGTTGCTTCAGATTATGGAACCTGGGAGTGTAATTTTTCTATAATTAACTATGTACTTAAATCATATTCTTATCCTGAAACACCCATCCTAAAATAAGTAATAAGTAAGTAAGTAAATGTTTTTCTCGCATCCATCCCAGGCTCCAGTCAATGTGACTGTCAGAGACAGAAGCAGCAGTGATGAAGCTAGCAAAGCGATACTGATATGCAGCAAACATTGCTTTGTTCTAGTATAATCTCAGAGTGTGATATAGTGTATCAACAAATAAGCTTCTAATATTTATTTCACTTCTTTTTCTCACCACACATTCTGCTTGTGTGTGTATGTGTAGAAAATATGTGTATGCATGGTTTATGTGCATGCAAATCCTTTATAGGTGTGGCCAGTGGAAGTGCAGCAGAAATGAGTCCTAAAACCCTGAACTGAGTTTGCAATTTAGCCCCTCCAGTTATCTCCTTAAAGTCAATTAGTGTTTTGAATGGGATTTTGAATAGATGCCTGAAATAAGGTCTGTGGTTAACACAAGCTTCAAAAGATTTTCAGGTTTTGTTCTACAACATGAAATAGTAAATACCCCTTTTTAAGCTTTAATGTGTCTTATGGTAAAGAAGTGTTGATAATACAGTACATGCTTTGAATTCCTTAGAAGTGTTCTAAGCAGACCAGATAGACAGCAGATGATAGAATACTCAATACAACCATAAGAGACTTGAGACTTGACTTGGACATTGGCTCAAAGACGAGACCTGACTATTGAAATGAGCCATATTGAAATGAGTCTGCTAGTAAGCAGTAGAGCACTTAGTGAGTGTGATGATTTCTCCATATTTACAGTTTGTCTAGATTTGTTTTTTAGAAGGCTGTCTTTTTTCATCAAATCATTTAGAATGAATCAATTCTGGTACTGTGACTTAGCTTTTAATGCTAATACTGAGACATTTTCAGAGGTCAGGCTGCTAATCGCATGGCAAGTTGAAGCTGACTTTGAACTCTGAAGTGAACTATGCCGATGGGGGAAAACCTCAATTATTGATGTCCTCATGGAAGTGGAACTACATTTGCAAATACCATTTAGAGTAACATACGCAAGTCTTGTGTGATGTGTTACACTCGGAGGTTGGCAGCAGCAGAAAGGCCACAAAGAGGAAAGAGAGAGAAAGAGTATTTTATGTAGTAATAGGAATTCATCCAAACCTTGAGAGCTTCCTGTGAGAAATCAACCCAGAGAGAGAGAGAGAGTGAGAGAGAGAGAGAGACGGGGGAGGGAGGGACAGGGATGTGGGGGAGTGTTAGTAAAAACAGTCAGGATAAACTTTACTTATTACAATTATTTCATACATGTTTTTGCTGTATTGAAGAGGAATTTAATATGAAAAATAATAATTACTAATACTTAAGAAGATCACAATTTTTTGGTAGCTAAAAACCTGAAAAACGAGATCATTTTTATTTTGGTGACCTGGTTTCATGTTTGTTTTAAAGGCTTTTTAAGGTGGATTAAGACCTTTTTCACAGCAGCCATTTTTACCGATGATACACAATGTTCTGTTCCATTTATGTCAGACAGTGTCAGGTTGTGAATGTTGGTTCACTAAAACGTTCTGCTATACTGAATGGAATGGAACCTTAATTAATATTATTTTGAAAGTCTAACTGGGCGGCTGTGGCTCAGAGGCAGAGTGGGTCGTCCTCTAATCAGAAGGTTGTTGGATCGATCCCCTGCTCCTGACGCCACATGTCGTAGTATTCTTGAGCAAGATACTGAACCCCAAATTGCTCCTGATGCTGTGCATCAGTTTGTGAATGTGTATAAATGAGTTTCTGTTCGATGGACTT